TTTTCACCGAAACAGTGCACAGTAATTATTTGTAGCATATTGAAAATAAAATTCGAAAAATCGCGCGTTTTGAAAAAAAACAGAGATGTACTATTTTTATTTGGAAAAGTAATGCGACTAATCCCCTGTGTCTCCGCCACTGGTGAACGTTAATTTTAAGTAAAGTCTTTCGAATGTGGACAATACTTAGCTAAATCTACATACCAAATTTGAGTTCATTCCAGTTGACGGTTTTTAAGATATTAAAATAAATTGTTTTTTATTTTTAAACTACATAGACTGTATAAACTGCGCTGGATGGCACCTAAGTGACTTAGGAGGTAATGCAACGTTTTCAAAGTGACACTTCACCTCATCAGCAGTTCCCACCTACTGTTTAACCGAAAAGGGGACCTAACACATCTGATATTCCAATACCTACATGAAACATGCAGGACTAGTGAAAATATGCCACAATTTTCATGAAATTTCGGTACCAACTCCTCAAGGGGCCCACTTCCGCAAGACATAGAATCAATTTCACATGATTAAGATATTTTCCCTAGCTTACAGGCTTAGCTGAAAAACACAGCTCGCCTAGCACAAGCCTTTATCCATATCTCCCAAAGCGCGAAGTGATATGAATTATTCTGACAGTTCCTCATAAGAAGCCGGAATATAAATCGGCTATTGTAATTCCTGGAAGTTCTGATTGTATCAAAAAGCGCGTAAGTAAACAGAATATATGCTAAAAGACACAAAATACTCGTAGATGCAGATATGTGTGAATTCAGGATGTGGGAAAAGTGATACCTTATATAAGCGAAACACCAAAAGCACAACCTGCAAGGGAAATTACCTGGTACACTGATTGGCCAAAAACTGAGCGGGGAACAGATGCAGATATACATGTACATGGTGTTCCTTAATGATATGCGAATATTTAAGGATGTATTTCACTGATATTTCGCACGTAGTGAAAGTTAATAAAGTTGCATATTTTTCAATGCAAAAATTATGTTTAGCTTTAACAGTGACGTGCGTACGGGTATTGATTTCGATATTTTTTAGGAAAAAAATGGTACGCCAATGGTTTTTTGCCAAATATAAATTATTTTTGAATTCCCCGTTCAATTAAAAACAAATGATCTCACTTGAGTTGCTTTCTTTCGATGCCCCATTTAGGAGTAAAAAATAAAAACCGTTCTATTGTCCGAGAAAATTAATGTAATAATTGAAGAATGCAATTTAGCAATAAATATCTAGTTGCTCTGGAATATGTCACTGGCGTTTGGCATCTGATAAGTCTCTGTTATTCAAATCTGTTCGCTGTGACATATTTTTCATTATTTAATTTTTACAATCTTGTTAATAATGGTGAGTTATTCAAATGTAGAAATGGCGGAAATGCATTACGTATATGGCCTTGTCGACTGTAATGGTGAGGAAGCCAGACGGATTTATCACCAGAGATATCCCGATCGTGCTTTGCCAGATAGTCGAACGTTTTCTAATATTCGTCGTCGTCTCGTTGAAACTGGTTCTGTCAGCAAAGGAACATCTGAAGGTAGACCTCTAAGTGTGAGAACACCTGAAATTGAGGAAGAAGAGCTGCACGAAGTCGAAGAACATCCTGAAACGAGTACGAGGAAGATCGCTAGAAACTTAAATATTTGTCATCAAATTGTTTGGTGAATTTTAGTGGATTTTTTGTTATATCATTACCATATTTTAAGAGTACAGGCATTACTTCCCATTGATTTTCCAATGCGTGTGACCTTTTGTCAGTGGTATCTTCAAAAAATTTCCAACACCAATTTTCGGTTAACGTATGGGCAGGAATTATTGACAACCACTTTATTGGCCCATTCATCTTACCTGGACGACTTGATAGACAGACTTACTTCAATTTTCTTCAACAACAGTTGCCTTTGTGCTTGATGATAAGAAACAATATGTAGTACATGCATGCTGGTGCACCAGCGCATTTCAGTGTAGCGGTTCTTAATGATTTACAATCTGTTCATTCAAATCGTTAGATTGGCCGCGGTGGGCCCCAAGAATGGCCACCAAGGTCTACAGACCTCAACAGTTTAGATTTCTTTTTGTGGGGCTATCTTAAGACACTAGTGTACGCAAGTCCCATTAACACTGTAGAGGAATTAAGAGAAAGAATAGTTGCAACTTGTGATAGAATAAAAAACACTCCAGGGATATTTCAACAAGTGCGCCATTCCATGAGAAGGAGGGCGGAATCATGTATACTGAATGAAGAAGGGCATTTTCAACAATTTTATGTTTGTGTTGTCAGTTGTTGTTGTTCATTACCCCTAATGTGTTTAATTTTTCCAATTAAATTAATAATAATTTTGCAAGTTAGACAATAGAACGGTTTTTATTTTTTTACTCAAAAATGGCGCATCGAAGGAAAGCAGCTCAGGCGAGATTATTTGCATTAAATTGAACAGGGAATTCAGAAATATTTTTTTTTTGGCAAAAAACCATTGGCGTACCATTTTTTTTTTAAATATCGAAGTCAATACCCGTACGCACGCCACTATTAAAGCTAAAAATTATTTTTGCATTGAAAAATATGCAACTTTATCAACTTTCACTACGTACTAAATGTCAGTGATATATATGAAGCGGCTCTGAAAATATTAATTAATTTCCATTTTTTTCCTAAAACAACACCCCGAGTTTTTGTAAGGAAACATTTTTGGACCATAGTTTATAAAGCAAACTAACATTAATTTTTCATGTGGATTCATACCCTTAAATATTCGCACATAACTAAGAAACACCCTGTATATGGAAGCAGGTACAATCCTGGGCATAGTATACCGCTTTAAAAAGTATACTGCATGACAGAAGTGTATAGAATAATGCGCTGTGCAAGAGTGAATAATGCGCTGTGCAAGAGTAAATAATACGCGAGCGTATAGTCAGGTGTCACCCATAGCGTTAAGTCCTAGAGCGACATTTTTGTACTGATCTGGGAATGCCAACAAGAACTGAACACACTGGCGGAATAACAAAGTAACTCTGATGTGGGTGCCAGGACGTTCAGGTAACGCAGGATGAGCTCGCAAGGAAGGATCATTCACGCCCTATACAGGCCCAGAACCTGCCTTGGAGGTTTCCAAAAAGCACAATAAGGAACCAAATTAAAGAATAGGTAAGAAACTAGCACAAGGAACTCTTAGTGACTGAGTGTAGGCGTAGGCATGGGAAAGAATTTATCTCGAGACCATGTCCAAACAAGGCTGCCAAACTGCTCTTAATGTGTAGATACCAACTCCGTGCATTTACAGACCTTCTAGCAGGACACAGTGGCCTGAAAAAATACCTGAGCAAAATAAGGCTGTACGATGGCGACAATACGGAAAAGGAACAGAATCAGACCTAGAAGTCTTATGTGAGTGCAAGGCGCTGGATCACAAAAGACACCAACTCTTCTGGAAACCAAAACTAGAACCGAAGGAGTTTAGAGCAGTACCGGCAGGAAAACTCTGCCAGCTGGTACAGAACACTAGACTGCTAGATTGGGTATTGTAAACTCAAAGAGCAAGGCACAATAAGCCCTAGAGGCTGCGGTGGCATCGAGGACTTTGATCGGACGGCTCCCGGAAAGGATAAAAAGGTACCTTATATGCAAACATATTTCTCTAATCTGATGATCCCCCATACACTATTTAATTTCTTATGACATTGCTTGTATCAACTGCACCAGTGCTGAGCAACTCCAATCATATCAGCGACGGCGGTGGTAGCAGCCATTAAGCAACTGGTGGCGTTGTCGTCACTTTAGTGTGAATGCTCATATGACCCATGGTCCGAAAGTCAATAGATTTTTATCTAAATGGCTTTACAGTTTACAGCTTTAAGGGTTTTATATGGACCACAATCACCACAATCTTACTAGTTTTAATAATCTAACCTAAAACGTTTTCAAATTGGGTAATTAACAAATAAATGGCCTTAAGTTTTTCTAAGCCAAAATTTGTAGTCAGTAGGGAAGTAAGTTTCATTAAATTGAATATTTAAAACACACTCGACGACAGCGCGTCGGTCATCATCACTCTTATTGAATCGGCAATCGATCGCATACGGTAACAATGGTTAGTTATCCTTTTGCATAGTTTTGCTTCTTTTAACTCCCTCTATCACCCATTTAAATAATGACTATCATAACGTTTACACCCTGTATACAGCATCTTCAGGGGCACCACAGGGTTCGAATTTAGAACCATTGCTTTTTTGCCCTTCGTTAATTATATAAATAGCAATATTTATTGTGAAACATTTATATTTTCCGACAACTTGGAATTGTTTTTTTAAATCGACAGCAACACTGATTGTGAGTATTTACAATGTCAAGTATCTAAGTTGGAAGATTGGTGTCGATTGAATAAACTGCATTTGATTATTTATCTTTAAATGCAAAGTGGTTACATTCTACCGAAAGCAACAAATATCCCTATAACATCAGAGGAAACACCATATAGGGGTGAGACATTTGACAGTAGGATAAATCTTGACTACCACATTACTCAAAATGTGAATAATGCTAATGGAGATTTAGGTTTTACTGTTAGAAACTGTAAATTTATTAAAGACTTGACTGCATTAAAATCATTATTTATCATCATTATTTTTATTATTATTGTTATTATTAAAGTAATTTTTTAATCTCGCAATCCATATTTTTCATTCAGCAAAATCTCGGAAGCTATGACCGTGGGACAATGAATGATGCGTTAGAGATTTTTTCAGGTTCAACAAAACGGCATATGACAAAGTAGGAGTGAAATACACTTTTGTATTCATTATTGGTCACCTTTTCCCAACATCCTTCTCAAGATTAAATAAATTAAATAACATCAAAGGTATCAGCACAGTGACTAACAATGACAAGAACACGAAAATAAAATTCCAATGTCGCATGCAAGATGTCGCATGCGATATTCGAGAACATCCCCTTACCCTCAACCTTGAAATGATACCAATCCTTTTTCCAGGAATGACAGTAGACTATGGAAATGCTGGTCAGCAGTAAGGTGGTTCAGCTGTTGGAAAAAGTCAGTCGTATACGCGCCATTGTCAGCGGTTCCAGTTCTCCTGCCACATCAACTGTGGCTGTCTTACGTAGCAGCCGGATTGTTGGCAACTCTGGTAGTGCTACATTTGGTGCTCACTTTCAAAACGACGGGTGGTGGACGACGAAAAAGACGCAGGAAAGACAGATTGTTGCATCACGATACTGACAGCTTTGAGAGGTAAGAATGCTTTCTTGGTTCTTTTTATAATCATCTGTAGCAGTGCGATACAGTATCCAAAGCGCGTGATCTTAACTAAACCACCACAAGCGATAATTTCTTTACAGGAAACGAAACTAGTCAACCGCACTCAAAAAATATAATAAATATAAGTAAATTATGTAGGCAAAACATCAAACTTCGTTTGTAAAAACTGTATTTGGTTCCAACAATACCAGTAACCAAAAGTTCGCATGAAAAAAAGGTTGAAATCGTTTTAGAATTAACTAATCTCTAAATACTCTTCATTGTCTTGTAAAGCAAGGTTTTACCTTTAATTTAGATACTAGATGACTGCGAAAATTATGATTTTCCAGCGAGTTCTTAAGCATTGAGTATACCCGCACGGTAACCCAGATCAAATTTGTTTAACCAATTTGTAGTCGGATAGTTTTACTTCCTACGTCAAAACTGGCGAGGCAGTATTGTAATCGAGAAAACTTTCGAAATTGGGAAATTATGTTTTTTTGATGTCATATGACAATATCACGATAAACTATGTCAGTCATTTCCGTCGGTCTGTCTGTTGGTCTGTTTGCTAATTCATAACCTCCTATAACTTGATAAGTGCCGCTCGGATTTTGATGAAATTTCCACAAAAGATTACTACGATGCCAAGAATACAAAAGCTCTGTAGTTTTTGAAAATCGGTCCAGTGGTGGCTGAGCTAAATACAAAAACACGAAAAAAATAAATCGCTTGAACTTTTTACGGAAAATTTTTTGTAGGAGCTGAAACTCGGGAGTTGGGGGATGTGAATGTGACGTCTTGAGTATTAACACTACTAAATTTGTTTAACCAATTTTCTTAATTAAATTACAATTTTTCCCGAACAAATTTTTTTCTGGTTTTCTTGATTATTCTTAACTAGAAAGTCCATTGAGTTTTCTTTAAAGTGGACCATTTTCGAGTAATAGGCGATTTAATGTCTGAAATGCCCTGAAAATGGGTGTACCCAATGCTTAAAAATTACCTAAATTAAAGCTAAAACCTTACTCTAAGACCCTGAAGAATAATTTGGGGTTACATTATTTTGAACCGATTTTTAACCTTGTCTGTTAGGACGAAATTGGCGAACTTTTGGTTTTCGCAGACTCTACACAGCCTTGAACCAGAACCGCGCAATAGTTGCCTAGCGGGAGCAAAATCGGACATCGCTGTCATAACTTCCAATTTACTTCAGTATTGTGTATAGCAAATTCTAACCGTTAATCCGAAATCTCTAAAATGATGGAGATGTTCTGTACCTTATTTTGAGAATCTCAAAAGCATAAATGTCTGATCAAAATTCAAAAAGATGTTATTACTGGAATACTCACAAACATCTAGTAGCTACATATAATTATATTTACAATTATTCAGTATCTGCACTTAAACATTGTTATTTGCTGAATTTCACTATTAGTCCAAAGATGTTTCCCGTTTTGGCGACCACGTACGCGACGGCGAATACCAACTGTTCAATGTTAGTGGATAATGCCAGATAACCAAAGTGACGTCAGAGTCAGTTATCACGGGAACATTATGTTGTCCGTTTTTCCTTACATTAAATATATTGTTCTTTTTTAAAGACAACAACTATGTCACCATTTCCTATATGTGCTTTTTTTCGATATCATGCTAAAGATAACTGTAATATTAGTTTAGATTGTGCTACTATCGAAGTTAATGACGCTGTCAAAAACTGCTTTCCATTGGGTATCATGTAAAAACCTACAAAGCGTCAAAAAAAACCTATAAGATGTCAACTTGCAGACTATGTAGTTTTTAGGGCGCAAACAATCATTCCACGTTTGCTGACTAGGATCATTGTGTACGTCCATTCAAGGAGGAATCACTCAACTAAACTAAACGCATTATTGGTTGCATATATTTTGTGAGGCCAAATGGTCCTTGTCTGTAGTTTTTATCTCTGAGAAGAAAGTTGGTTGAATAGCAAGATCGCATCTGGATGATTATGTGTATTGGTCTGCATGTGTATAAATCAGTGATATTTGCTGTGTGACAAAATCATTAATAAATATGTTGCCAATGAAGTATATCTGTTGGCTGTGCCCGACGGGTTATTTTTATGTTGTGCTTTCTGAAGAGAGGTTATGTTCAAAGTTATAAATTATGAAAAACTGAGGAGAATTACGGGAAATCATCACCGCGCCCGCGTTGTGTATAATTACTGTTAGCATGTATATGGTTTGTAATTCGACAGTGTACAGTGAATATAATTATTTCTTAACTCTCTCATTTTTGAAATTCAGCAAATTTGTATATGTTATTTCCAGAATGGATAAGACAAAGCAACTAATTTCTAGCTTTCATCATCAACACATACCACTTGCAGCTAACCAAAGATTGATAACAAGCCTCATGACGTTTAGGCAACACGTACAACTAAGTGCTAAGCTAACATCTAGTAGAAGAACCTACATAATGTCAAAAAAAAACAGCATAATGTAAAAAAAATCGGCATAATATCACTTTTCAAGATACGTGATACCCGTGTCGATCTTACGTCAGTTATATCTGAATAAGGAAATTCCCGATTATCAAACTAAAAACTCTCTTAGGCGAAACATTAAATATGTCCAAAATTACTTACTGCAGTATAGGCGACAACCAATTTTGAGATAGAATATCACTTTCACGTATACAAAAAATTCAAAATTTGTTTCAAACTAATAAATAATTTGAGAAAACATGACCCTATAAGCGGTTCTTTGAGATGCTTGGGAGATCTATATGAGTTACACCTATTAACCTACACTTTTGCTTACTTCGATTCCCTCGTTTCTAAAGAACAAGCTGATTCCTCAAAATTATTTTCACTAAAGAGGCATACGGCTTACTGAGACACTCACAATGTCTCTTCACGAAATCTCATTATTTCGTAATTGCTTCACACACAACGTGTTTACATTCTATAATGAAGTACCTCAGGCTTTAAAATCACCAAATTACAATCGATTTAAAAATAAATTAGGCAATTTATTTTAGAGAAGTACTAACCAGCATAGGTAGACCCCTTACTTTGCAAAATGTTCCTTTTCTGTGTACTTCATATGTATAATTCAATTTTCATTATCTTCTGTGACTAGAATATTATATACCTAGGTATATTATTTTTGCATTTTTATAATTGTTATTTTTTGTGCGTTTCAAGGGTTAAGTAGCAGAATACCTTCAACCTAAACTTTGCCCTAAATAAAATATGTTTATTTTTTAATTATTACTATTATTTGCCCTTTGCCCTAAATAATTGTAATATACCTATTATCATATGCATATGTTTCCAGCAGTAAATTCGAAGAAGTAACAGAAGTCCTCGACGACGGTCTTCCAGACCCAATCCCAGGCAGCAGCCATTCCATATGTGACAGCTTAGCCTCGATGACAGCTATACAACCCGAACCGGACGGGGTACTAGAAATCTGACCAGAAGTCCATCGGCCACCAGATTTGTTCCGACATATCGTTGAGGCTACAGTCATCACGCCACCATCGAAGAGATCTTCAGTAATGAGCTCAAGTACCACGTCATTGATATCCCCCAACAAAACTTTGACCAATGTGGCCTCCAACATGACCTCGAGTTCCACGTCTAGGGTATTTCCGAGCAGTGCTCACAATGTCATGTCCAATATGTCCTCAAGTACTACTCCTAATGTGAACTCTGAAGTCACAATGTGTAAGGTGACCTCGAGTATCATGTCCCCTTGTAACATGATCTCCAATATGACCTCATGTACTATGCCCAAAGTGAATTCTGACGTCAGTACTTCCAAGGTGACCTCGAGTAACGTGGCCCCTTGTAATATGGTCTCCAATGTGACATCAAGTATTACTCCCAAAGTGACGACTGATATCACCATGTCTAAGATGACTTCGGGTACTTCGTCCAAGGTAACTTCTAAATTGCCCTCCAATGGTACTGCCAAAATACCATCGGTTGCTAGTTCTGTACCATTGATTGCTGCCACCAAGTGCTAAGGTTATTCATGGTTAAAGATGAGCTCCAATTCGTTTTTAGAAATAAAGGGTATGCCAATAGGGACTTAACCGACAACTTTTAAGAAATATCATGTTTGTCTATTTAGGTCGAGGTCAGTTTTAAGGTTGGCAGTAAAAAGCCAGGGGAAAATTGAAGCCTCTGCGACCTTTGAGTTTCTATTGCTTCATGTGTTGAAATAACTTAAATCGTTTTAAACAAGGGTTTGGAGGGTAACATTGGCCATTGCCAACTTTCACCCAAGGTCATACCTGATCGTAAAGCCATGTAAAACTGTTCACTCTATCCGTTTTCAAGGTCAAAGATCTCTTTTAAGAAACATATTGATCTTGATTTAACTTTCAAGGTCAATATATACGCTAAATTACTTCAAAAATTATGTTCTCAATTTTCAACACACAAGATGTATATTTTTGCACTGTATCATAACGCCTAAACTTCACCATAACCATTTGTAGTTCAAGATGGATAGCTTAGTTATACCGCATAGCTTTAGGAAACCAATTTTTAAAATATCGTGTCGCTATCTAACTCCTTATAACTCCGAGGGTTGATCCACCCCTGACCACCTTGCAGATGTTTATTTGATGAATAGACAAGAAAACAAGCGATCAAAGTAGGCTATGTTAGTAATTGTATCTTAGGTTTATTTGAAACACTCTGCTTGGACTATGGACAGATGGTTTGTGATTTTGGTATCAGGTGGACATGAACGGAGGTATAGCAACTATTCGAGATCTATATAGGAAAAAGACACCACAAAGCGCCATCTATTCTACTACTGCTCGCCATTGAAGAATTGAACATACTGCTTTGGTCAGCCCCACCGCAGATAGCCAAGCTGTTTCGTGCTTTTTGTCATCAGCATGGTCTAGCTCTGTCACAAACTACCGCCAGTACTTTGTAAATGAAAATCAGGTGAGAAGAAATAACCAAGGCTATCCAAAACAAACATAACCATCAACTAAAAAAAAGGAGATTGACAGTATTGACACCTGTGGTGAATGTCGAAGTATTCAAGAACGTCTAATAAGGACTTGGCTATGTCAGTTTCCATTCCTCCCTGATTAGAGTATTATACAGATTTTTAATGACATTTTTTACGTAATAACTCTTCGGGAGACTGTTGAACGAGCACCATTTAAATATGGCATTGAATAGTAAAAGACAACATATAGTATAAATTAAATATAGCTTTAATGGATTAGGGTCAGAGGTGGAGCATGAGGATCGACCCCAATATTTGCAAGTAGTTGCTTTCTCAAGGAGATGTCAAACCAACGATGTTTTTTAGTGCACAGGGGGTTACTACCCTAGGAAATTGTGTAGCTAAATTTGTAAATATATTTACCAAAACTGTAATTATCCTGAGTTAATTTGCTATTTTGCCAAGTTCTATTCATGTTTCGTATCTCTAGCTAATGAAATTATCTCACTGTATGTACATATTAAGTGCTAATCGAATGTGCAAAATTTATTGTACTGTTGCGATTTTAAAGTGAAACATTTGTAAACCTATCGAAATTTTTTATGGTGTGTTGGATAATGTGTTATTATTTATATGACATTAATAAATGGTTTCTCAGAAAATGCTTGCGTTTTACTTTTCATACATGGTCAAAAAAGTGGCGTGGGGCTGAAGTTTAGATATGAAATGATGCGTCTGGGATCACACGTAAATGCGAGAACTAAAAATTGACTTGGTCAAGTAGTAATTTGAATTTCGGCCGCGATATCTCGTAAACGGAACGTTTCCGGATTAAGGAGGCTGCGGATTTGGTGCCTAAGAAGCACATTTTTCGCTTTTTTTCGACCCTCACCATTGGAATCTCGGAAAGGGTAAAATATACGAAGTCGCTCAAATGAATATTTTTCCAAAATCGTTTAGTTTTTCCTAACTTTATTTGTAGTGAGATTCAAAAATAAATTACATACAAAAACATTGCAACTTATCTCCTCTACTCGTACAAGATGGCACCTAAGCAGAACTTCAATATGACGTTTTTTCTATTGTCCTCCAGCATCAACTTTACTTTTGCACAGATAACTGTTTTCCTTCTACCACCCAAGTACCCCGTTTTTTACATAACACGTACATTACACTTTCAGTTTCGTTAATCCTCTGATCGGAAACTCTACCAAAGTATTTAAAAAAAAATGAAAACGTACCAAAAACATTCAGGCACAACTCAAAGAATGCATGACTCTGAGGCGCAAGCATTCTGGAGAAACCATGTGATGCTAATGTATGGTGAAGGTGTAATACGCTGTCGCATTCAGAAATGAAAGGCAATGATGGATCTTACCCGGCCGATATTGGAAATTGTCCAAATGGAGCAAAGTTTAAGCAAAAGCGAAATTTTCTGACAAAGTTCAAGCCTCGTGTGCGATTTCTGGGGCTGGGGGTTTCAGCACCCGATGTTGACCGAGTTATAATATTTTAACTTGACCTCCCTTCCGCATGCGTATTATGTAAAAAACCTATAAAACATAAAAAAAACCTATAAGATGTCATCTTGCAGGCTAGGTAGTTTTTAGGGTGCAAACAGTCATTCCACGTTTGCTCACTGGGATCGCTGTGAGCGTCCATCGATGGAGGAATGGCTCAACTACACTTCTGCACGCATTGTTGGTTTCTATATTTTGTGAAGCCGAGTGGTCTGTAGTTTTCATTTCTGAGAAGAAAGTTTCTTATCTGGTGAAATAGCAAGATCGCATCTAGATGATTGTGTATATTGGTCTGTATGTATATAAAATCAGTGATATTTGCTGTGCGAGAAAATCATTACTGAATATGCTGTCAATGAAATATATATATATATATATATATTAACTGTGCCCGACGTGTCATTTATATGTTGTCCTTTCTGAAAACAGCTTATTTTCAAAGTTGTAAATTACGATTTTTTATGTTTTTTGTGTTTTCAAAAACTTTTAGAAAGAATTACGGTAAATCACCACCTCGCCCGCCTTGTGTGTTATTACTGTAACCATGCATATGACTTTTAATTCGACAGCGTACAGTGAATATAATTATTTTTCAAATGATCTCTCTTGAATTGTTTTCCTTCCATGTGCCATTTTTGAGTAAGAAAATAAAAACCGTTCTATTGTCCGAGAAAACTGATGTAATAATTGAAGAATGTAATTTAGCAATAAATATCTAGTTGCACTGGAATATGCCACTGGCTTTTGACATCTGACAAGTCTCTGTTAATCAAATCTGTTGGCTGTGACATCTTTTTCATTATTTAGTTTTTACAATGTTGTTAATAATGCTGAATTATTCAAATGCAGAAATGGCGGAAATACTTTACGTATATGGCTGTGCCGACTGGTAATGGTGAACAAGCCAGACGGATTTATCACCAGAGATATCCCGATCGTGCTTTGCCAGATAGTCGAACCTTTTCTAATATTCATCGTAGTCTTGTTGAAATTGGTTCTGTCCAAAAAGGAACATCTAAGTGTCAGAACACCTGAAATTGAGGAAGCAGTACTGCACGAAGTCGAAGAACATCCTGAAACGAGTACGAGGAAGATCGCTAGATACTTAAATATTTGCCAACAAATTGTTTGGACAATTTTAGTGGATTTTTTGTTATATCATTACCATATTTTAAGAGTACAGGCATTACTTCCCATTGATTTTCCAAGGCGTGTGACCTTTTGTCAGTGGTATCTTCAACAAATTACACAAAATCCGCAATGATTCTGTTCACAGACGAACCTAATTTTTCTCGAAATGCCATTCAGAATTTCCACAATAATCATTTGTGGGTAGAAGAAAATTCCTATGCCGTAACCGAAACCCATTTCCAATACCAATTTTGTGTTAACGTATGGGCAGGAATTATTGGCAACTACTTTATTGGCCCATTCTTCTTGCCGGGACGACTTGACGGACATACTTACCTCAATGTTCTTCAACAATAGTTGCCTTTGCTGTTTGATGATGTTCCGTTAGTAATAAGAAACAATATGTGGTACATGCATGATGGTGCACCAGCGCATTTGAGTGTAGCCGTTCGTAATTATTTACAAACTGTTTATCCAAATCGTTGAATAGACCGCGGTGGTCCCCAAGAATGGTCACCAGGGTCCCCAGATCTCAACAGTTTAGATTTATTTTCGTGGGGCTATCTTAAGACACTAGTGTACACAAGTCCCATTAGCACTGTAGAGGATTTAAGAGAAAGAATAGTCGCAGCTTGTGATAGAATAAAAAACACTCCAGGGATATTTTATTTATTTATTTTTATTTTATTTATTTATTTATACTCTACCCAACAGCTACAAAGCCAATTACAGAGTAGGACAAAGTCTAAATATCAAAAATACACAATATCTTGCATATTACACACAAATGTAGGAAGTTCAATCACAAGGATACTACGTATATATACAAATATTTCCAAAAATGGCAGTGTAGATAAAAAAATAAATAGCAAATAGCAGGCAAGACATCATAAGGAACCACGCAGCAGACAAGACATCAGAGAAATATATCTAATTGATCCGCAATGTAATTCGCTTTTCCACATGAGCTATACAATGGAGAAAATTTTGAAATATTTGTTCTAGGGGTAGGCAAATAGAAGGTATTGCATTGTCTAGCATTCAAACGCCGGACAAGGAAATTAAAATCATGCAATATATTGCAACAATCAATACCATTGTGCAATATATCAGTCACGAATTTAACACTGCACTTATCACGCCTCCCCTTAGACTTTGAAAATAGAAAGCTTCTTCTAAAGACTCTTGTGGATAGCCAATCGGTGGGTAGATGCCATTTTCCTTAAAGTAAAGGTACTTCAAAAAACGCCGTGGGATATTTTCGAGTTTGTCTATCCAGAAGCAGTAGGAGAGCTGCCAAATAATTGCCGCATATTCAAGCTTCGAACAAGTGAGTTATATAGAAGCTTAAATGTTTTAATATCCTGCAACTCGCAACCACAGCGTATGATGAAGCCCAGCTTTTTGTAACTCTCTGCAATAATTGAATCCATATGACCACTGAATCAATATTTACTGTTGAAAATGACACCTAAATCCTTTATTTCATGCAATCGATTAAGCGGCAGACCACCAATATCACAGCCAAATATGATCGACTGTGTCTTGTTCGTATAACTGACCACATTGCACTTCTCAGCATTCAATGGCAAACTATTTACCTGACTCCAGCAGTTGAGCATGTTTACGTTATGCTGTAACTTTTCACAGTCAGTTAGAGATTGAATGGGACAGCGATAAGTTGAATATCGTTGCTAAAGGTTTCGCAAATATACAGATGCACATTCTTTCAATATAAAAGCCGGAATTCCATCTGGACCAGAAGTTAATTTAGGCTTTAGTCTTCTCAAGGCATCATAAACCTCATTCACATTAAATTCAGTCACTGTTACAGGACTACTTCCAGTTGACTAAGTGGAGTTGGTTTTGCCACTTGGGCTAGCAATAAAAGATTTACTGAAAAAGTCAGCAAAGCTGTTTAGAATATCTTGAGGCTCACTTATATCCAAACCGTTATAAGTTATATTCTTAGATATAGAGCCATGACCTCTTCTGCTGTTGACAAATCACCAAAACTTTGACGGGTCTTGCTTTATATCATCTTCAGCTTTTTTTATATACTCTTTATAAGCAATATCGATATCCTTTTTAATTTTGAGTCTCAAAGCTTTGTAATCATGCAAGGTCATTTCATCAGAAGTTAACTTTAACCTCCTAAACAATATCTCCATAGTTCTGATATCCTTTATTATGGTAGCATTAAACCAAGGCGGTAATTGTCTACGACATCTGGTGGTTGAGTACTGTGGGACACACAAAGAAAAAATTACATTCAATGCAGCATAAAATTGTTCACCACGCTTCCTCAACATCATGAATGCTATCGAGAAAGTTCCAATTGGTGCAGAATAGTTGATCATACAATAAAGAGATATTAGATTTTCTGAAGTTGAAAGAGTTAGGCACCATTCTGTCAAATTGAATTTCTTGCTTGGGAAGCAATTCATTAATGGAGACAACTACCACCGGGTGATGCTGATCCTCCATCAGTATGGGATCGCTGCATTTATCAACACTACACATGAAATTGCATAAAACAATATCTAAAAGTCTCATGTTAGAATTGAAAACGTAATTATATTGCTCAAGAGAATAAAAGATGCAAAAGTTAAGCAAACTACTAACCACAGTAGATTCCTCACCACTTAGCACGTATGACGCATAACTAGAAATATTAAAATCACCCAGAATCAAAATATTGGCATCTTGCAAGGAATGAATTGCACAGATTAATTCAAAAACAGTTTCATATACATATGGAAAGAGGCTCCGTAGGTGGGATATACAATACCAAAATGCATTAATTTGTTTTCCCAAATACAGTTTTTACTCCAAGAATATCCACAGCAGGTAAGTTACATTGCACATCTAAAGAGACTGAGAATAATGTATCCGTGATTGCCAAAAGTACGCCACCTCCACGTGTTTTGTTGACAAGAGAAAAATATTTTCTGTACACATTGTAGTTCTGGTTAAATAATTCAGAATTATTAACTGAAGAGTCCAGCCAGGTCTCAGATAGGGCATAGCAATCAAAACCATCTGCACATGTGCCGTTGTAGAAAGCAGAAGTTTTAGTTCTCAGGCCTCTTACATTTTGATAATAAACAGAGAGCTCTGGAGAATTTTTTGAAGAAGATGTGGGTTCCAAGATGCAAGAACTAGAGTCAGAGGCAATTGGTTGCTGTTTTATACTCGCAACTTGCTACAAGCTTGTAAGTAAGAGGAGCAATTTTTAATATCCCAGGCGGCGTGATTAGTACAAACGTTAAGCTCACCTTTGCTTCGTCGAAAAACGCAGTTGATACACTTCAAAGTAGCAGACTTGCAATCCTTGACAGCGTTATTTTCCCCACATCTCGGGCACGAGCGCTCTTTCTTACATAATTTAGAAGAATGATTAAATCCATTGCAGTTGAAACAACGAGATACTTGCACAGCATCAAAAATTCTACAGCAGTCTAAACCAATGAATACATTGCCTGCCTTCAGCATATTCACATATGAGGTTTTGTCTACTTGAACAACAGCCTGACATTTTGCATTATCGCGCTTGAAAGGAAGAATTTTTATTATTTTACAATTATTCGGATTACTAATAAGTACATCATTCATATTGATTAATTGATTGCGCAGGTGCTCTGCAGAATATTCCGAGGTCATACCAATAATACGAACCCTTGGATTGACACCACCAACATATTTGACATCATAGGACCCAACCATTTTTTCTTGGACTAATTTCTTCAGTTTGAGATTGCCCTCAGCACTCGTACAGCCAATGAGGACGCCATCATCTTTGACGTGTTTTATCTTGGATATATGAATTTCATCAGCAACTAAATTCACGTTCTGTAGAAGATCAGTCTTCGTTTTTGACGTATCTTGTTTTAGGCTTAATTATGACAGCAGGAACCGTCTTTTTCCTTAAGACACTGGCATATGGTATCGGTTTGTTAACACTTGAAGCATCAGGATTCTGCAGAACAGCTTGTTCAATAGTCGACTTAAGTTCATTAATCTGTACGACAATCGAATCCAAGGCATGACTAATTTTGCTTTCAACAAGTTGACCAAGTTCTGCATCCTCTATAAAAACATCAGAAGAAAGACAGTCATTACACCTCCAAGACAGCTCAGGAATCTGTTTGATAAGTGTAGGTAAGTCCACCGTACCAGCATAAACACAAGAAACATGTACCACTTTTTTGCACGGTCCACCGCAAAAAATGTACGTTTGTTTCCGAGAAACAGCTGTTTCACATATTAGATGAGAGTCATTCTAAATTCTAATAATTCAGCTGTTTACCTCACTGCAACCAGCTAACAATACCTCGGCTACAACTTCATGCCACACTGCAACGGCTGACTTGACTTTGATCGATAAAGACACCCAAAAAACACAAAGAACTCGCACTTTTCACAGAGGCGATGTGTGATACGTTAAACCTTGCTTGCTTTCTTCTATATACTCTATATTTCAACGAGTGCGCAATTCCATGAGAAGGAGGGCGAAAGCATGCATACTAAGTGAAGTGCGCCATTTTCAATACTTTTTGTAATCATTTCGTTGGTTTTAATGTTATGTTTATGTTGCCAGTTGTTGCTGTTCATTCCCCTAATGTGTTTAATTTATCCAATTAAATTAATAATAATTTTGCAAGTTAGACAACAGAACGGTTTTTATTTTTTTACTCAAAAATGGCGCATCAAAGAAAAACAATTCAAGAAAGATCATTTGTTTTAAATTGAATGAAGAATTCAAAAATAATTCTTATTTGGCAGAAAATTATTGGTGTATCATTTTTTTTTTCTTAAAAAATATCGAAGTCAATACCCGTACGCACGCCACTGTTAAAGCTAACGATTATTTTTGCATTGGATAATATGCAACTTTATTAACTTTGACTACTTATCAAATATCAGTGAAATATCTTCTGGAAATATTAATTAATTTCCATTTTTTTCCTAAAACTTCAACACCCCGAGTTTTTGTAAGGAAACATTTTTGGACCATAGTTTATAAAGCAAACTAACATTAATTTTTCATGTAGATTCACACCCTTAAATATTCGCATATCATTTAGGAACACCCTGTATATTAGCTGTGCCCGACGGGTTATTTATATGTTGATCTTTCGGAAGACAGGTTATGTTCCAAGTTATCAATTACGATTTTTCACGTGTTTTTGTATTTTCAAAAACTTTTGAGGATAATTACGGGAAATCACCACCGAGCACGCGTTGTGTGTAACTACTTTTAGCATGTATAACACTTGTAATTCGACAGTGTACGTATATAGTGAATATAATTACTTATCTCTCTCATTTTTAAAATTCAGCAAATTTGCATATGTAATTTCCAGAATGGATAAGAAAAAGTGGTTGCGCAACTAATTTCTAGCTCTGAATCTCAAGTAAGTGTATTTGAGACAAGAATCCAATCTAATTATCATTACCACATATTATTAGCACACAAATCCTTACTATGCACCTATGCGTTGCCGTTCCCTCCAGTAATGCCATCTCTGAAGCAGATTTTACATCACATCAAAGCCAAACATTGATAACTGAAGCCTCATGACGTTTAGGCAACACGTACAACTACAAAACTAGTTCACTACGTGTCCATCGGCTAGTGCTAAGTTAACATCTTGTAGAAAAATCTACATAATGTCAAAAAAAAATCGGCATAATGTCACTTTTCAAGATATGTAATACCCGTGCAGAGGCCATTATACCAGCAGAGCTGGCGAATGGTTGGAACGGACTAACGAGAGAAGATAACTTCTCAAATATACCACACGCTCGGCCAGTCAGACAATTTTTGTCGTTGCAATGTCGAGAAGTTTATGACAAGGGATGGGAAGCCCAAAATAAATGACAATTGCTGGAGCGTATTTTTATAAAATTCCGAAGTGAACGAGAACGTCGTCCAACTGAACATTAGACAAGCCTTAACTAAAATGCATGCTACTGGAGTTCATGGATCGCTATTGTGTGTGTTTGTGTTTTCTCAAAACGTTACGTGACCAATAAATGCAATTCAAACGACCGTGCGTATTTTGGATCGCTTTAACCAAATCCAAAGTCATTCTCAACGTATCTGGTATCGTTTAACATGTGCAGCATGTTTAGTGACAATTTGCGCAAAACTTTGTGCCACTTTGAGGAACATAAAATCCATTCGTCCATCCATCTCATGGCAATCGCTGTAGTCAGAAAGTATCTCATGGCAGGATGTGTTTAGCGATTGTTACTTTAAGGTTGTCCTGTTGCTCGGTTATATCTAAATTAGAGGTAATGTCGGAGCTTTTGGGTGTTGACACGGCAAAGTGATATCCTGGTTTCTGGACTAGTTTCCGTAACAATTAATAAACTTGGTCTAAGCACCAGATTATTAAAGTATCAATATCGGGCATGACTTCCATGTGGTAGGAAGCTACCGTTCCCCCGTGCGAGGTATTTCCATATCAGGCGTGACTTTCATGCGTTAGGAAGCTACCGTTCCCCTAGTTATGGACATGGGTGTGACTTCAATGCGGTAGGATGCTACTGTCCCCTGGATGTGTAATGTGTTTCAATATCTAGTAACATAATTTGTATTGTTTATTGTATTTTTTTATGATCAGTATCAAACCAGCTAATTAGCATAATTGTGCATGTCGTGAGAAGGTAGAATATGGAAGGTACTCAAATGGTTTCTCCGAAAAGTAGGCTTGCCTGGGCCCAAAATCCAGTTCTATCGACCCAAAGCAGGACAGTACTTCTGACATCGAAGCCCTTGTTAAGTTGTTGATGTACTACCCTCGCAATAAAAGTGAAAAGGTTCAGGGTAGTATTTCCTACACTTATAAGGTGCGATTATTATGTTCTCATGTTTATCATTCTATCACTCTCTTATTTTTACGCTGAATTCAAATATGATCCTGAAACAAGTATTGTGAAGTCACATTTGGAGTGAAAAGCAGGCTAATTGCCGGCTGTCCAGGGCCACTCGTACATCCCACTACAAAGTTGACATCGGAGTTGGAATCTGCGCTACCAATTTATGCATGAAAACGAGTGTTTATCTAGATCACAAATGTGTATGGATTCTTGAAATCTTTTCCACACGTTTTTTAATAGCTAAGATATCGAAATCGGGATATTGTCGGACTACATAGGTTTTTTTAACGTTTTGGTAATCCACGATTGATCATATCGTAAAATATGGTGTCCATAGAATACTAAAAATCCAGAATATGTTACGAATTCGTTTATTGTTCTTTAATTTACACGTTAAACGCCATGGCGGTCCCATGGGACCTCTTGACAACGGGCCTATCACGCCACGTCGCCGTCGGTCCGTATGGACCGCTTTGTATTTAATTTATCTCCACCGTTACTCTAGTCAGAGGACTCAGTGTCTCATTTTAATTCATTTTAGCGTTAGATATGAACCGCTGTGGCTTGTATGGATTATACCCTTATGAAAACTTTAAGGTGTAATTTTGTTTTAAATAGAGTTAATCAATTTTCTTTTATTCACATAATTTATTTCCTACTAAATCAACACAACAACTTTGACAAAAACAAACAAGATTCCAATGAAAATGCAGAGATATAAAATAAGTTATGATATAGGGATACAAAATATAAGATAATTTCATTTATTTATGACTTCTTCCGAAACAGTCAAGGCAAAAGTGGGGATTTCCTTCACAACTGTCACAATATGTAGTAACTTTTGGAATTTCATTTTTTGGTATTTCACCCCTTATTTTTTTATTATAACATCTTTTACAGTACCGTCCGACTTCATGTAATTTTCCTTCTTTTTTTCAGTACATGTCGTTCCCGTCTTGTGTCAGCTTTATTATTTTTTAAAAAACCTTAAAAGACGACACTTTGGAGGTATTTTCAATTTATCCTAAAAAAAATACATAAACAGTTAGTTTTTTAGGATGTACTATGCATAGTATATTAGGAATAAAGGTAGCTATAAGAATAATAATAAAAAAAATATTGAAAATAGTACAAATATTTTGAAACGCATCAATATTGCAAATTTTAAAGAGTATGATATTGAACAAAACGTGAAGGCCGACATCACATTTTCTACATCTAGTAGTCGTGCGCTCATGACAGTGTGCACACCTTGTTTGTTTGCCGTGTGGAATGACTAAATGATCTAAGCGGTCATACCTTATGTCACCAAAATTTCTTGATTTACCTTGCTGGTACGTATAAGTCTTCTTATTTTGTATCAAGATAGTTGTAGCTACACTTCTTTTAAATTGTAATTGATCCACGTTATTTCCTCTCTTGTTATAAATATGCCAGGCATTTGTCAGTGCCATATCTACACATTGAGAGATCAACGAGAAATACCATTTTTTGCCTCGAATTTGCCTGTATTGAGCTATATTCTGGTCTGACCTATCCACCCCGCCCATACATTTATTATACAGCTTGACAACTTGCGGCTGATCTACATACACAAACTTTTTTTCTTTTTGAGAATACCACTTTACTGAATTTACTGGTTCAATTCCAATCGCTGTAGACCCAAAAGTTACAATATTGTTGTCATTCCATTTTACAAAAATTAAGTTTTTATCTTTTACTTTGGTATAATCAAACACTCCACGTTGTTCCTTTTCATAAGTTTTTTAATTTTTCAAAGAAGGCGTGGGTATACGATTTTCACGAATTGTTCCTGTACCACATATGCCTTTTTCAGTCAAGCTTTCAAACAAAGCTGGCGAAGAAAAAAAATTATCAAATACAAAATGAAACCTAAGATTTGCCCATTTGCTTGTTAGCCTATCAGCATAGCTCAATACAACTGATGCGCCAACACCTAAAGATTTGTAAGCCGCGTTCACATACGTCGAAGCACCCTGATAAGGTTCAAACCATAAGATGTAACCAAGAGTAGTAGCGCCAACCCAAAATTTGAACCCATAACATATTGGTTTCCCGTGGATATACTGTTTACAACCATGTCGCCCGTTGTATGGAACCATTGCCTCATCAATACTATGATGCTCTTCTGGTACTGCGTATTCCAAAAAAAATTTATTTAGGTAGTTGAAAAGACGCCTTAGTTTAGCAAATTTATCATTTGCCTCCAGAGCTTCATTGTTTAGGAAGTGAATGTGAGACATTATAAATTCAAATTTATCGCGAGAAATAGCTTCAGAAACAAGTGAGTTGTGTGAATCACTGGATTTTTCCCAATACATCCTTCTGCGAGATACACTACGGCAGCCACTCAACAATAATAGGCCTAAAAAACATTTGATTTCAGATTTGGTAACCATAATATTCCTGTTCTTCTGTTGAGCATACCGATTTGTCTCCTCAACTATTATGTTCAAAATTTCATCATCAAAAAAACTAAAAAATATCTCGGTTGGGGACTGCTCTTGTTCATCTTGATTTTCGTTGTTTATTGGAAACGCATCCTCATTTCTTGGCAAATCTTCTTTTACGTAATTATATGTTTTCTTCTTCTTCACTTCCTTCCTGTTATTACCCCTGATTTCACTGAGTGGTATTTCATCTTCTGAACTCCACATATCCTGGTTTTGATTCTTATTTACTTCGACCTCAGCTTGCATTAAGCTTCCTGGCAAGTTGTTGATACCCAGTCTTTCTTCGTCTCCAGAATCCTCCTCGGTTATATTACCGCATGCATTAGTGGGAGGTAACAAAAAAGATTTTTTCGCGAGTCCACGGTGTAGCACAGTGCACTACCGGGAACCGATACTCAAATTTTCGCGAAGAACGGGAATAGGGGAAGACGGATGTGACGTCGTCCGAATATCAAAAAATCACGTGGTACGGGTACCCGCCTAACGTCTGTGAGGTACTAGCGGGTGACAGGTCTTATGTCAATTTCATTTAAAAAACAGGCATCTCAATTGAAAATTTGTCTTCGTAGTGCCGAAAATTGAGTTAAATCATTAAATCATAAATAGAGGAACACGTCCACCTGATTTTAAATGACGAGAGAGAAGGTCATCGAAGATATATGAACCGCACTTGCGATATCAAACATTTTGCGCAACATGCGCCATCTAACTACTCCCGGTGTAACTTGAAACTGTCAAAACTTCGAGAAGATGGGGAAATTCCATCTGTTCCCGCTCAGGTTCACTACGGGATCTCGCGAAAAAATCTCTAAAGTGATAGACTCAGCTTCAATGTCGTCATCTTCTATCATTGCTAGCGCCTCATGCAAAGAAAAACCCCTGAAACAAATGTTAAATTAAATAATTACTTATTCAAAAATAATTTACCTAAAACCATTTTATTTTTGTTTTGACTATGAACATATTCGTAGACCCCTTTTTTCCTGATGTACTAAATAATATAGTACACCTAACTTTATCATAACCTCAAAAACAAAGCATAAATGAAACACATCATAAAATCATAAAATCTAGAAGCCGCAACTAAGGAAATAATATTTTCATAAAAATAAACTAGTTTTTTTATTTTATATCATAAAAAACCTACTTACTTTGCAAAGCGCACGCCATATTCATTCATCTTCTATTTTCCAATATACAAAAACTGATTTCACATACAAAATATTGCACAATACGCAAAATTACTCCGTACTGTACGAGATCCGCCCGCAAACTGTCGCCGCGAGCTATTCAATTTAAACAAATCGTACAGATATCTACAGGAACAAACAAGTGTAGGCTGTACCACTATCCATAGTACATTAGGCATAAATGGGTTATTTATTTTACGATTTGATCAAACATGCTTGATTATTTCATGAAGTAGCCGCCGCGTTTAGTTGATCACGTCGTTAAACGATTTGTGATCATTGATCTGATCCACATACATCATGATCTGGCCAATAGATAGTTACATTTCATGGAATGCTTCATCATTTCAGGATATGATCAATTTTATGAAATGGCAGGGACATATTAATATTGTATATTCTGCCGTTGGTTAAAAAGACATTCTCGACTAGACTATGCAGTATATGTGGTTGCCTAAGGCAGCAGAAAACTTCCTAATAAAAGGGGTGCTTTTCTGTTCTGCCACATAATATTTAATCTGAAAATGTACTTATTCACTAAAAAAAAATACACAAGGAAGTGAAATATGAAATACGTCCATAAAACGCGAAGCTCTGATGGAAAAACGGAAAGCTGAATAATTAACGAAAGCTTCGCTGAAAGATCCAGAGCTGAAACAGGTGCATCTAGTTCAAACTGTGCCTAATAGATGGTGTGCTGAAGTAAAACTGTAAAGGTGAATCGTAAGAGTACTGTAATATTTTTCGGAAGGTTAAAGTTCCAATGCATAGATGGCAGCATAGACATTATGAGAACATTCTGAATTGATTTTTTTATAATGCATGTCAAGCTTGGAACTTTAATTTTTCTAAAGTTTTGTTTTACGCATTTTCAAATTTGAACACCCAAGCTCTTCCGTCGTGCGTTAAATTGGCAATTATCAAAGTTCATAGTATGAGTAATTATAATAATAACGACAATCAGTAGGTCGCCAAATACAAATTTTGTTCTTTGGGAAGTTTGAATTTTTGCTCATAAATGGCAGGATAGACATTATCAGGCGTATTGCATTTTCTGTTCTGAATTACAGGAGGGTGCTAACTTAGATTTTTTAAGCTTCTAGTCTTAGTAGTATTTTTATTTTGGACACCTAAGCTATGTTTTATCTTTCAAAATTTAGTGACATTTCTAAAAGTGGAAAATATCTAGTTTAAAGAGTAACCAGCAGATGGCGGAGTATACAAAGAAAGGGAGTAATTGACAGAATCATTTAAGCATTGCTTGGGGATTTGTGCTCATAGATGGCAGGGAACGCATCTTTAAAACTTTAAACTGTTTTTTGTTTTTCACGAATTACAGGAATATAGAAACTTTTTTTTGTTTTTCTACAATAGTATTTTTGATTTAGTTGGCCTGAGCTTTTTCCTTGTGCTTCAATTTGGCATTTATTCCAAGTTGATATATCCAGGTTGGCGCCCTATTGGTGGAGCTGTGCAGTTGTCAAGTCGTCAAGTTGGCGATGCGTATGCCATTTCCGTAGGGTTTTTTAGTTTTTCAGTGCGGGACTTGCGGGAGTGGTGCTGTTCTAGCGATTAGCGAGTGTAGTGTCCGTAGAAAATTAGGAAATTCGGTGTTTTCCACGTACGTGTAAATAAAGTGACCGAAAACTCGAACCGGGCGCGACGCGGACTTAAAATAATGCCTGTACCCTCAACCTGAGACATGTTCCGGTGCATACCTATTTTCAAAGGCTGTAACAGGCAAGTCGAGTATGTTGATAAGAGACACTGCTCATTAATAAACGTACCTGAGGACATTCTGAGGTATTCTAGGAGCCTAGAGGAACTACTACTTGACGCCAATAGGATACAGGCTTTACCTAAGGTAACAGCAAAATTGCAACACCTTGTACAAGTTTAACCGCTGGAATTTTTCAGAGTTTTTTTCGACTGCACCGCCTTAGGAAACTAGGGCTTAGCGACAATGAAATCGGCGGCTTACCACCCGATATACAAAACTTCGAGCATTTGGTCGAGCTGGATGTTTCAAGAAATGGTAAGTGGCATATTTATGCAAAAATAAAAACAACCTGATGATAATCAAACCTGTTTTCAATTGTCACTGTAGTGGACGTCGCATTCATTTGTTTTTTCTCGTCTATGGTTACTTGATTAGGCTAACTACATAAACGCCAATTACATACAAAGCAACAAACACTAATTCAATTGTTTCTGATATGTGTGAGAACTGTTTTAGTAGAAAGGAATCAGGTTTTGACTGAGAAGCTGCTGAAACTATGACTTCCTTTTACTTTATCAACAATGTTTGTGCCATTGTACAAATATGGTATTCATTCATTGGTGTTACCACAGTATCTTAGAAAATGCAAATGATATACAAACAGCATTTAAGGTTAGGGGCCCAGAGTCAATGGAAGCATTCAGCCAATGTAAAGTGGTCCAGCAGCACATTGCTTCTATGCTGAATAGCTCTAGCCATGGAATAACTGTGACAGTTTGCAACATTCACATAGTATCAAACTGACAGCTAAGAGAAAGCTGCTGTCAAACTGACAAAACTATCCTGTGGCTGCTGCTATTCAGCATAAAAGTGCTGCATTGCTGGACCACTTTACGATTGCTGAATGCTCCAAATGATATCAACTATTTGTAAGAGCATAGCTTAGCAAGGTGTGATAGCCTCAGGCAGTGTTAGAAATTTGAGACTGTCAGAGTAAATATATGATATGGAATCAATATTACGACTGAGTTGTCTCAGTTGTGAGTCAGCAAAACTTTGTCTAGAAGGCAATTTGAGGGTGCTGAAAACTTTGGCCCTAAATGTCTTGACGATACATTTTTTTTTTAAATAAGCCATCTCTTAAATTCCATACTATCAAATGAAGAAAGGTAACATTTTTGTTTCTCCAGTGATTCCTTAATGTCTTGGATTAGGAAGTTTCACTAAATTCCATCCATGTATGCTCTGATATGATAGCCCATTTATGCAAAACATGATATTTTTCACACTCTAATTTGGGTGCATTTAGGAAACCAAATACTACAAATCCTGCGAAAATAGTGTTTAAAGGTAGATCAACATAAAAACTGTATTGCCATTAGCAAACAAGTAAACACCTACTATGATGCCGACTCCAGGAGTCCGGCTTTAAAAATAATTGCAGGATCCAAGTTTCAGTAACATTTGTTTTGTCCTGGTCTTACCTCATTTTTTATTTGTTTCTGCCAATATTGATAATACCGCCTACTTGTCAGCCCCTACTGGCTTCCATTGTGAACAATGGCTGGGCAAATATGTTAAAATAAGAAAGTATCAACATTAATCCCAAATTTTTGTAACATAATAGGAGCATATCGAAAGCCCAGAGGAAGATTGAGGATTTTGTTTTATTCCTAATTTTTGAATAGAGGGTCCTCACAATTGTTTTCTTTCCTATGATTTTTTATTTTGCTGAATAAATGGAAAACACTAGTATTAGACTTTATCTAAAAATCTGATATACTAATATATGTGGGAAGCACTGCTAATAACATGCCAACTTATGCCTAGTTTTGAGGTTATGAAGTCTGATTTTTATATCAAAACATGTGTTTCTAAACACTTGTCATGAGAATTTCAACAGAAACCAATACTTTTTAAGACATTTTAATCATATTTTTGCACAGACTCACATATCCATGACACCTTCAGTAGCTGTTGTCTGACAGCATCATATTGACACCTGAATTGTATCAGGAAAATGTCAACATATACCAATACCTTTTAAGACCTTTTAATAGTACTTTTGCATAGGCTCACACATCCATTCGACTTTCAGTAGCTGTCAAACTGACAATGTATCAAGCTAACCCCTGACTCTGTCCCAACAATGATGTCAGTCTGCACAAAAAAACTACACCTGCTTAAAATGTATACTAACACCTAGGATAATTAGACAACCCTATACCAGTATCACCGATATATATGTGAATATTTACTATTGAACCATAACTATCTCCAGTTGAAAGACACCTACTGCTAGACAACCTACTTTTTTAGATTTAGCATAATTTTGTTTAGGTTGCAATTGCACATAATCACTCTTAGTTTCTACTCAGTTATCGTGTGTATTTGTGGTACTTTTGTTTTACGAGCGTCGGGCGACATGGGTACCGGTCGTGGTACCAATTTTATCACGTCGGTTTATCAATTGTAAATAATGTCATTGCTTTGGAATGTTAAACGCCTACTTTTGGTTAGTTATTGAAATACAGAGACGCGCCGACGTGCCAACGTTGTTACAAGGCTTTCTAGGTCGTTTAACTATATAATAACATACCTTGATTTATATTTCGGTATATATATAGTGACCCTGCATATATGATTTATATTCACAAAGATTTTTACGTGGCAAATGTTGTTTCATAAAATATGTGAGCACAAAATAGTTTTTTGGCTAACCATAAATTGTACAAAAACTGTTTCTTATATATCAGAATTCAAGACAATTTTTTACTATATTAAATTATGATATTTTATATTTTCCTTCTTTAGATCATGCAACTAAAAATACAATCCAAATCATCCAAAACAATTGCGTTCGCTTTATCTTTAAGCTACGTAAATTTTATCGTATATCTGCAAAATAACCTATACTTAAGTGATTCAGTGGTTAGGTGGTATTATTTTTACGATTTCATGTTTATAACTACTGTTTAGAAAAAAACCGTTCGAATTTTTATAATATTATCTTAATTAAACTAAGAACATATGTTGCGACACCTTTTTGGTTAAGTGTAAGAGTAGCCAAGCTAAACTTTGCCAACTAGTTTTGTTAATGTGTAATTATTAACTATTAGATGTGGAAACTTGAACATCAAGTAACACAGCAGCTTTTGTGACCACAAGGACAAATGACATAAAATAAGTGACGTCATTCCATATTGTAGATAGATAGTGATTTCTTCTTATTTTAAGAAATTCAGTTTCACCAAACCAAAAATCAGAAAATCTACAATACGAGGTATTACGAAGTTGTTATCCATCCAAATTCTAACCGCGCCAGACCGGGATAGACCTTCATGCACCCATTACAATCCTCAACCGCAAGTTATTTACGTCAAAAAAGTTTCAGCGACTTTTATTTTTTCCACTTTTTGCCCCTAGTTCCGCCACCACTGGAACGATTTTCGAAAACTCCTTGGCAGAGGAGTAACCTTCTGTGAAAATTTTGTCGAAATCCGATCGGTGATTTCCAAGTTTCGACAAACAGAGACAAACCAATTTAATGTTTTCGTAATATACAGGGTGTTCATTTGAAAACTTCCCACCACGGATTTATCGAAAACCACTGTTTAAGAGAAAAAACGCCGAATTGCGTCAAAAGATTTGTCAAGGGGGACAACTTTTTAACCAAAAACTACTTCACCCCCTTTCACCCTCTGCCCCCAGGGTCATCCCCTTAAAAATTGTAAATGACAAGGGATATCGAGTAATAGCTTATTTGAAAGGTCTTTCGAAGTAACTAAATGTTTGTATGGGATAAAAATTGGTGGTTAGTGATTACGGGGGGCGGGGAGGGTATATCTCAATTTTTTGACGTAAGTATACAGCCTTGGCCAAAAGTATTGAGCACGCTCGATATCTTTAAATTCTAGGGGACCATTAAGTTGGGAGAAATTCACACAATTTTTTCTAGCTTTATATCGCTTAGTATTGAAAGAAAATCAATATTTTGTGGTACCACCCTTCGCCTTAATCACGGCAGAAATTCTTTTAGGTAAAGATCGTACAAGTTTATTACATTCTTCGTAAGTTAAAGCGTTCCATTCCTCACGTAGACGGCGCTTCAGGTCTTCTTTATTCTTGAATGTATGACGCCTGATCTTGCGCTTCAATAAGCCCCACAAATGTTCAATCGGGTTCAAGTCTGGTCACTGGGCTGGCCAATCCAGAAGCTCGATGCAGTTTTCTCTGAACCAAGCCATTGTCCGTGCAGCTTTATGGCAAGGCGCATTGTCCTGCTGAAATTTGACGCCATTCATGTTGGTATCGCCATAAAGTGCAGTAAACGACGGCAAAAGAGCATTTTCGAGTACGTTTATGTACTTTGTGGCATCCATGCGACCCTCACACACGAACATTTCTCCCACTCCTGAAGCACTCATGCAGCCCCAGACCATTACGCTACCGCCACCATGTTTCAAAGTAGGCACCACACACTCCTGATTGAATTCTTCTCCTACTCGACGACGAACAAATGTCACACCAGGTGTACCAAAAATCTGAAAAATGAAGAAATGTCATTAAGTAGTTGCTTAGTTGAATATTTTCTTCTTGTCATTTTGTTTCAAAAATTATTGTTACACCTCGTTACTGCATCAAATTAACCAACGTACCTCAAAGTTTGATTCGTCTGACCATACAATATTTGACCAATCCTCTTCAGTGAAGCTTTTGTATTTTAAAGCCCATTTATATCGAGCCTTTTTGTTTTTGTCTAGCTTTGCGGCCATTTAGACCAACTTCTTGAAGCCTTCGGCGAACAGTTCGAGTAGAAATCGGTCTATTAATTTGCTCTGATAGTTCGGCAGCGAGGACCAAAGAAGTTTTTTCCGATTTTTCAAAGATTCTCTCGTCAATATTCGGTCTTCGCGATCTGTAGTGATCCGTTTGCGGCCAGATCTAGGCCTATCTTTATGTGAACTGGTCTGAGAGAATCGCTGGATAGTGTATTGTACACATCGACGCGAGCACTTCACTGTTTTTGCAATGTCTACCTGGGACTTCCCTTGTTCATGGAGAACCTGTATTTTCGCACGTTTTTCAATGCTCAGTTCATTCGTTTTTGCCATATTACAAGAGTTGAACTCAGATTCTCGAAATAAAATCATCAATATTGCACTAAATCACTTGACTGTTCACAATGAGCGATAGCATCAAACTGATGAACACGCACTAAAAAGGTAAAACTGACTAGTCTCCAAAAAACTACGTGTTTTAACGACAGTAAGGAGATAAGAAATTATTTACAAACCGGTTTTGATACCTACAAATATTTGTATAACCATTAGTTTTTCTTTTCGTCTATCATTATAGCGTACGTGAAATATTTTCGGGGTGCTCAGTACTTCTGGCCAAGGCAGTATTTATACGCCTCCAACCCCAGTAATTCTCTCCGGCATATTTCACTAATCGTAGATGTCCCAGTACATTTACCAATAAAACTCCCAATATATCTCCTACAATTGGATGTCGATATGTGCGACCTCGTCCCTCGATGGCCAAGTGTCGTCGTCGGTGGTCATAGGTCACAGTCGGCAGTCGCTTCCACGCTACTGTGGGCTGCATGCACTGTGCATGGTGTAAAAAGGCTAACTTGTGCCAAACATAATGCTTTACGAACTGATGACAGCGTAGTGTGGGAAGTACATGGTCCACTTACTTCACCCCATTTTTTATCAGGTATTTTGGATCATTCTGAACAAAAAAAGGCCTCCAGTAACTTTTGTCTAATGTTGACCGTTTTCGAGCTATAACCGATTTAATGTCAAAAAACCCTAAAACTTGGTATATATAATTTTTTAGGTTGCCACGCACCTGAATAAAGACCCCCAAGAGTATTTGAAGAGTAGTTTATTTTAAAGCTTGGTTAGGTCAAAATTGGCGAACTTTTGATTATTGCAGACTGCATCATCTGTTTTACCTGCCTTTACTTATTCTGCTTTGCATTGCAAAGCATTATCCATTTTGCCACATACAACTAAGTGGCTATGATTATACCCAGAGTCAGAGATAGAGCGTATAAAATCGGCAGGTAGAAATTCCGTGAGCAAATCGCACGATCTCGCAGTAAAAGTTGGAATTTTGGAACAGTTGCGTCTCACGAAGCTACACAATAACAATAGACTGTCGGAAATGGGGATCAAGATAGCTGTGAGTGGAGATGGGCTTGCTCGACGTTCGCTTGTTCCTCGTTTGCTGTCGGGTTTGTCGTTTGTTTTGTGCGGCAGGTCGTGATGTTACACTGCATCGAGATATTTTTGGCCTTAAATACAAACAGAAGAAAGTTAGGTGCGGGTGACAACTGCTTTGTTTCCAGCGTATCGAAGGTTAGGGACTTGACGCTTTTCACACGAGTATACTATTATTGAGACAAATATTGTTATAAACTGTTTTACAAGTTAATTACATTATTCTTGAAGGTAATTAAAAGGCCCCGCATCAAGAGGAACAAAAAATTATCACATTTTAAAATACAACCTTTTAATTGAAATTAAAATAAATAAAGCAAACTAAAAAATTAAAAATAATTTTTCCGTTTTAAAATATTTATACGATGATGAAGCTCCTTCATCTCAAGTTTTCAAATAAAAGCATGTTAAACCCTTTTTTCATCCTGCTGTCAAAACGTAATACTAATCAAAAGCTTGCATTTAAAAATGTATTTTCTATTTTATTTATTACTTTTCAATGTTTATGATGTCAAGTAACTAGTTTGATAATCGCTATGAAACTTTCATATGTTTTATTAGTATGATTGTATGACTGTAAAAAGTATAAATCGTAACGTTGCGGTGGCCGCCATATTGGATTTAGAATGACACCACTATGCTTATTATTTTTCTTACATCAAGCCCTTCCATTTGATACCCATGTCGTTGGGGTGACTCTGAAATATGAAAACCGCCATTTTGGGAGGGTCGCCATATTGGATTCAGTTTGCTTATTGCGTTTCGCTCCTCAAGCCCTTTTATTTGATACCTATATCATAGGGGTGACTATGAAAAATGTAATGTAAATTTTGCGGCGGCCCCCATATTGGATTTAGAACGTCTCTTTGCTCATTAAGTTTCTCTCATCAAGCTCTTTCGTTTGATACCTATCTCATAGGTTGACGATGAAATATGTGAACCGCGAACAATTGGAAGTAGATGACGTCATTTAGCTTATTGTGTTTCTCTCATCAAGCCCTTTTATTTGTTACTTATATCATAGGGGTTACTATGAAAATGATGAATCGCTTATTTTGTAGGATCCGCTATATTGGATTCAAAATGGCGGCAGTATTTGTATTGTCATGCAAAGCAAACGTGTGTATAAAATATCAGCTCAATTGCTAAGTTTAACTGATTGAAAATTCAGTTCCAAGATTTGTCAGATAAATACGTTCTTCTAACGGTCAGTGTAAATAAAAGCTTGTAAAAATATTTCCTGGAGTGGTCAAAAAATGTAGGGGCCGAAAATACCTTCAAAATAAGACCTTACTCGGCCAGTTTGATGTAACGGGTGATTTATTATTAAAGAAATGTCAAAAATCGTTGGTTTCTACATTTGTTTTTTTATTCTTTATTGGAAAATATATAACGGTAAATTTAAAATAGTAGCAAAAAACTAAAGTTTCATTAAACATACTCAGGGTGTTACTAAGGACCTAAAAAGTCTGACTGACTACATTTTTATGGTATGAAAGTTCTTCAGGCCTTCATGTTCCTTGTTAAAATGCCACCTTTTGTGTTTCACAGCAGATATTCATCCAAGAAAAATCACCGGAACACCCAAAAATAGTCGGATGCGTTCTTTTTGTAAGAAATCCGTTAGGCTGAAATCGGGAGATCCAGTTGGCTACATGCGTGTAATGTTGTATTTTTAGCGCTATTGCTCATGTGCTAATGAACTCCAAAAGCATGGCATATATATCATGTTATCAGCGTATTCAACTTTCTCCTAAAGGAAGTCGTATCGTTAACGTTAAGTATTGTAATAAATATTAGCAGGTACAAAGTTGCTGCTGGTCATTGGCGGGTAACTAACAAACCACCGGTTTTAGTATCGAAAGAATTAAATTTTGCAGGAAGCTTGTAAATACAGGTAAATAGTTGCACTTTGCATAGCTTTTGCCCCAAATTAGGAAGTTTGGTAGATTCAGTTTTCTCTCTGGAAATTCTTTTGGGGAATTTCAAGTGAAATGGGAATTTTTTCGAATTAAAAAGCATTGTAGTGGGATATGAAACATAGCGTTTTATATTGGAAATTGTCTGTACTGTTTGGTGAAAAAATCAAATTTGAAATTAAAAGAAAACTTAATGTGCTAAACCGGGAGTAAACATTTCAAACCAAAATTTGGGCAACTTCGCATTTATTTTCGTTTTTTTAGTCTAAAATATAGCCTAAAGTGTGTTTTGAATACATGAGAAGTTTTGAACTAGTACGCTGATTAATCAAGGAGATACGTATTTTTATGTACATACATGTCTCCATGTCACCATGCGTATGACGTTAGGCCCTCGCTTAGGTCGACTGGTTTGCGAGATATTGTATTAATAGGCTACCCTATGAGTATTTTTCAGCTCTAATGATCAATTTAAATATATTTTGAATTAAAACTATAGTATACTTGTATACGACATTCTTAATTATTGAAACTTAAAAAATATGGTGCAAAACCGAAAGTAAATGCTTCAAGTGGTAACTTACGTAACTTCTACCATTTTTGTGTGAATACATAATTGCAGGCATCTCAAATCTACGACCCTCGTGTGCCTGACGCTTATGTATGATTGGTAAGGGGCATAAAAAATATATATATAGCATATAATTCATTTTTTAGCTTTGTTTTTGGTTCTAGCTCTTTTTAAGTAAACAATCTGGAAATACGTTAATTATTTTAAAAAATCGTGGAAAATGAGGTATTATTTAATAAGGCAGTAAGGAAGCGACCGCCGACTGCGACGCACGACCATCGGCCGGACCACGGCGCACCAGTATCGACAAGGGAGATATTTTTGAGTTTGAGCAACTTTTATTTTTTTCTTTTCGGACCTTTTCTCCGATGCCACTGGACTGATTTTCAAAGACTGAATAGCTTTTTCCTCCCTAGCATATAACATCTCAAAACATCCAAAAACATAATAGCTCGAAACTTTTTGCAATTGCAATACCTCCTCACTAGTGGGCGTGGGAAGTAAAAAGACTGCTGAAACCTGAATTCTGGGTCCTGATCCCTTCTGCAGTGTTTGCCCATTGTAGCCACGATATAACTATGATAAAGGAATACAAAGTAGTGAAAACACCGAGCCTTTATCAGCGATTTTTTTTTTGTAAATATTTTTTCGTATTCTGTTGCTGCTCCCAAATTTCAATAGCTTTAATCGTAAACGCTATAGCAACTTGTACATCATAAAATAAAAGCTTGGAAGAAGCATGTATTATAGAAAATAATACGGTATCGTCTAGATGTAGAGGCAAGAACAAGAAGTGCATGTATTTTCTAGACACGAAACATCTGTCGCGTTCACAGACAAGTAAGAAAAAAAAACATCGTCTCATAGTGTGCCTGCATGGTCGCTCGTCACTTGTTCTGGTTTATGGTTACCTACCGGGGCTTGATAATTTCTTCCGGTTCTGGTGCTTTATTTCTTATTTTTGCTTCTTAATTACTTTGTCGGCAAACCTTAATATTATGTGAAAAGCATCTAAAAATAGCACGACTAAAAAGTTCTGAGGGTTTCGTTGCTTATACTTTTTTGAATGTTTCTCTTTATGGATTGCATGATGGCCAGGACTTATTTTTCTCATTATTACTCATTATTTTTAGGGTACTCATTTTATTCATTTTTTTAATTAATTACTCATTTTCATTTCTCATTTATTTTCTTCGGACGCTTCCACAAAGACATATTGAATTCCCCTTAAAACGAAAATCAAACATCGTTAAGCATTGGTAGCTAAAACCAAATGACACTTAATGTTACTCCTCGCGTCAGTTGACTAGAAAATATTAATATGTTTAAATATGGTGAATCCAGAAATGTTTTTTCGGATCTGGATGATATGTAAATCACAAAAAACTATG